TTGCATTTGGAAGAGATCATAGGCACAAGTGTAAAGGGGAGAGAATCTGCTGTCAGTGTCTTCCATCTACTTTGTCCCTGCCAAGAGAGTGAGCAGTTTCTTTCCCACGGCCTAGATGCTAATGTGTAGTTAGCCTGTGAGCTTATGGAAGCAAGGACCATTCTCTTTTATCCTTAGTGGTTCCATAGCGCCTAGCAGCTCAACGTTAATCACAAAAAATGAACAAATGGTAAACTAATTCATCATAAGTATTATGTTCTCAATAGTTTTTCATACTAGGAAAGAACTTCTGGGAGGGAACAAGACATGACTCACTGATGAGAGAATTTCAGGCACGAGGGGAAATATATTTAAAAGAGGGCATGAGAGGAACATGTGTGACTTCAAATCACATGATGCAAAATTTCCACATTATTTTGCTTTATTTTGAGTAGTTCTTGATTAGAGAAACTTGTTCAAAATTCTAGGGATAAAAATTAAGGTAGTTTGTTTAGAAAATGGACAGATTTTGCATTATGTTAATTTTGAGGTTACCATATAAGAGCTTGTATAATATGGTCCTATGTGCCACGTGCCAGTTTGCGAAGGCCACCAGGTACCAGAGACACCATTGACTTAATTTGCTCTGTGGTTTTCCCAGCTGGTTCATCAGATACTACTGGGTCAACTTGTTCTTCAGGCTCTTTACTCCCAACTCAGGTTAGTCCCTAGTTTCTGCTCTCATTCGTCTTCCGATCCAGTTTTGATTTCACTAGTGATACTCGTTGCCTAATACCTTATTGGGCCAATCTCCAGAATTTGCTCTAGCCATGCCAACTCTGGTTTTGCATCAAGCCAGATTGACTGCTCGAGCAGCCCTCTTCTGCCCCCTTCTGTCATAAATCCGCATGTGCACAGCTTGAGCTAGGTCCTATTCATTCACTCAATTATAATTTATTGATTTTGTCCAGTGCAATACTGTACTAGATGTTTCTGGTACATCACTTAATAGAACACAACAAATTTGCTTTACTTAGAGCTTGCAAATAAGATCTTCATCTCTAGTTGTCCCCACATTTTGAAGGAAGCACCTTCAGAGTTTTGCAGCACAGGCCTTAAGTAACAAAAAAGGAGACATACTATAAAATGGCTCCTTACCATACAGATTGTGATTTAAATTGGCTCTCTCTTGGAGCTCATTCAACTGGACTTAGATTCAAGAGTATGAAAGACTGTGATATTGTTGTTCCATTTATGATACATCTTAGAGCATATGATGCTCCAATTTTTAAAGCCATATATGTAAATTCTTTATTCTCAATTTTAAAAATGCTTATCTTAGGTTAGGTTGCCTAGAAGAGACTATAAGAGAGAAATATAGGTGTATGTGATTTACTGGAGGAGTGCTCTTCAGCAAATACCCTGTGAAGGAGTAGAGTGAGCATTATAGGGGAGGGGGTGGAGTTAATAAGGACAAGGTCAAGTCTAGCCTTGATCTCTCCATGGGGAGGCTCTGAAATATAAATTGTGCCCTGGGGATTTCCCATCTCCTACTCTAGGTGACTATGTTAGCAGAGAACAACTCTCCAGAGAAGAGGCAGTTGTCAAATAGGGGTCAGTACAGCAGCTTTGAGGGGGAACACCAAGCAGGTAAAAGGGATCTGGCTGCGCACCTTTGGGAAGGTGTTATGTGGGATTCCCAGCATGTGAAAACAGTGATGGCCTAATGGAATTTCTATGGGTTTGTGACTTTATTTTGAATGTCTCTTAAATTCCAGACACTGGTAGAATTAGTATGCTGAAGAGTATGACATGGTTGCTATTGTTAGCTAATTTATGGACTAAGCGTGGAAGCAGAGAAATAGGTAGAAGTGTTAAGGTCGTATGACATGACATCTGGCAGAGTCACATAGAGTGCATACAACATGGGAGCAGTAATCAACCCGGATGGTGGCTGCAGAGAGGGTCAGGGAAAGCTTCCTGCATGATGGGACATCACAACCAGTCTGGTCAGGGACCTGCAGAATATCCTTTTCTTACTATGTTATTTTCTGTGGTGAACAACTGCACACTGGGGTTAAACAACAGAAAGTTATTCCCACAGTTCTGGGGAGCAGAAGCCTGAAATCAGGATAGGGCTGTGTTTCTCCTCTAGGCTTCAGGGGAGAATCCTTCTTTGCCTCAGCCCTGGTGGCTCTAGACATTTTTTTGGCTTCTGATGCATCACTCCAACCATTGCCTCCACTGTACATAGCCCTTTTGGTTTGGGTGTGTTCTCCACCATATCTCTTATCAGGAAATGTGTCAGAGGATTTAGGACCCGCCTTGATAGTCTAGGTTAATCTAATCTCAAGACTTTAACTATATCTTTAAAGACCCCTGTCTCGAATTTAAGGTCATATTTACAAGTTCTTGGAGTTGGATGTGGATATCTTTTTTTTTTTTTTAAAGAGAGGGGAGCCATAAAACCCAAGATCTCACTGTCGGTTAAATGGATTCCTGTCCAAAATGGAAAGGGACATTGAATTTAAGGTTCTGTAATTATTATACAATGGGGAGGGACATCCTGGTGCCAACCAAAAATGTTAATGGTTCCTGATTATAGGCACCTTGTAGAATGAAAACTGGGATGGAGTGTTTTTAAGCCTGCCAATTCAAAGCTTATTATTAGTTCTCTTTCCATGAAAAAGAGGGGTCACTCATCCTGCATTCACCCTTTCAGTGGAGGAGACCTAAGGTAACTCCAAGTCGATTTCCCTTCTCAGGCAGATCACACACAGTGATGCCAAGCCATCAAGATTGTTTTCTGTCTAAGCCTGCTTATTAATAATTCAGTATCTTAGTGAGACAACCTTGTGATCAGTGGAAGTGGAAGTAGTCAATGTTGGGAGAGTTGTTTAGGAGGCACAGAGTGATGAGGCTTGGAAAATAATCAAGCATGTTAGTGAAAAACAGGGAAGATCCAGAGAGGAATCCAAAGCCTAGATGCTGAATTTAGTGTTGAATACGCTGAATCTGAGGAAGCAGTAGCTTATCCACATGAAAAAAAAATTATGCAACTGATGGCTGATGGATCTTCACCTTCTTAAATTATTATTAGAAGGCATTGCTTTTTTTAAATCAAAGAAAGGTACATTGAGAACTTTTTTAAGTGTGTCATGTGGGGTCTCAACTGCATCTTTAAAGTTTTAACTCAAATTTCTTATTCCCTAAACATAATGCTAGGCACCAGACATTTATACATAAAATTTTATTTCATTCTTTGTATATTTGCCTGACTCTTAAGTTTTTTGTTTGTTTTGAAAAAATGTAGTTATTTTAAAATTTCACTTTATTTTCCTTTTCCTTTTCCATATTCTTACCAATTAAGCATTCAAGAACAAGCAGTTCATTTATAATTGATAGTCTTTTCTATTCCTTCCATCTTATTCACTCTCTTGTTAAATCAGTGAGAGAGAAAGAGGCTTCATTACTGGTCTTTCTCTGTTTCTCTGTCTTTCTCTGTTTTGTAAGGGTGAGAATTATACTTAGAAAGACTTTCCTCCCAGCTTCCTTGGAAACTGACATAATCGTGTTTATTGTGAACTTGCAAGCAGGGCAGGGATTTACAACTTGGTTTGCACTCATTGTTGCCTTTGAAATGACTCAGCTTTTCACGCCATTGTAGCAGATGAAGAACTCTCTAAAGTGGCACTAATGTCACAATCAATGTGTTAGTATAAGTCCTTAAAATTTCATTCTATTCTTATGATGGCTAAAATATATTTCATATGCCTTTATGTTATATTTTAATTCAAACATTTAGATGAAGACTGTTATCTGTTCATGCTACTTTTTAATATGCTTTCATTTTGATGAACACAGGTTTAAAACAGTGAAGGTTAAAGTTTGAAGTGAAGTAAACATGGAATTTAATGGAGTTCAAGCTTTAATATGGTAACAGAACATCAGCAAGTGTTTTCAAATAACTTCCCTTAGCGCCATAGTAGCTGATCAAAAGACTGAAGGGAATGAGGCTTCATTCAGAGCTTAATAAGAGAGTCACTTCAGTGAAGGACCCACTGCTAGCCAATGTATCTGATGCCTCATTGTAATGACACGAGAGAAAATTGTATTGCTTTTCATATTTGGCATTAAAAATGAAAATGGACATCAAACCAAACACACTGCCTGACGATTCTTAATATCTCTACTTCGCTATAAAATGCCTGAGTCATTTTAAGAGGAAGAGTGATGTCAATGGGAGTACTTTTTTTTTTCGAATCAGAAAATAATATTGACTTCCTTTGTGTTCTCTTAATTAAAATTCTTACTTCCAGTTGAATCCAGTAAGTGTTGCCTGTTACAGATATGTGAGGGCAAAAGATAGATCCAAGTTTATCCCTAGGTCATTAAAACTTGTAATTGTTAAACTTTCTCTGTGGAATTGAAACTGCAAAGTTAGTAATGAAAAGAAGGGTAGGAAGAACAGCATCCAAAGCCCATCATGTTCAATAAGATTAAGGGTAAGTGATGTTGGAAGAAATTCTGATATCTCTGAATTTCTCCAATAATAATCTATTTCTCCAATAATAATCTTCTAAATTATGCTTGGGAAAAGTTTAGGCCCCTAGGAATTTTCAATAGAAAGAGTATGCATTGACTTTTAGATTCCACTGTTTATAACTAACATTATATAGATACAACTTTTAAAACACATGTTATCCCCAAACATCCACAGTCTTGTAAACATGTTTTATATTGAAATCTTCAATGAGTAGATATGACTACAAATAGCCTTTGTGATTTACAGCTATGGGGAAAATATCATCAAGATTTAAAATTCATAATGGATTTAAAAAGCAACAACGGTACAAAAAGAAGATTTTGAGGATGACGGTTAAATTATACACATAAATAAAGAAAATCTTGGCAAAGACTCAAATTTGGCCAAATTTTAAGTAAAGGTTTATATCAATTACAAGGTAAAGGAATCTTCTGCTTCTAAAAGGCGCACCCTACTCTGTTTTAGTTAATCTTACCAGTAAAGCCGGTGGGCGATCTGGATGCTTTGCAATGAGCGGTGTAATAGAAGTTGCACTAGAGGACTTTCAAGGTTCCATTCAAACTTGATAGCCTGAAGTAAGAGACAAAATTACTTTACTCTTTTTTTCTCAGTAATAAAATTATAGCAGAACACAGAAGGCTTAGGAGGCTTGAGAAAAGACCGGGGAAAATGTCATAAGCATTTAACAAAATGCTAATACCATAGTTTATTTAACATTTGTTTGCTGGTGTGTAACTAATAAAGCACGCACAAATCACACAATTTAGGTTTGTGTGGTCTTGTTTCTTTTCCGCGTGTGTGTGCCTCAGCATCACAGGATAATAACTGAGAGCAGATGGCTGGTGGAATCTAGCCATACCTAAGAAGAGAGTCCTGGCAGAAAAATACACTATGAATAGTGCTCTGGCTATACAAATGGCATTATTAAGCAGTAGATATTTCTACCCCTTTGGAGATGTAATTAATGCATACCCAAAGCCTTAGCTAAAATCACCAACTGGTATATTAGTATTAACCTGCAGACCTTGAAGCTTTTTTTAGGTCGGAAAGCTGATTGTTGCCACTATAACCCACAGATTCCCGACTTCTTTCCTTCATCTCCACTGTGATCAACTCTCTCAAGGGTTTCTAGGACCCCCAACTTGGCGGAAAACACAGGCAGTAATGGCAGCCCCCAGTATCCTTAGCAACATAATTCAGACCTCCACCTGCACTGTGCGAGGGCTTCAGCATCAGCAGTCAGTGCCTGGACCCCATCATCATGCCAGGAATCTAAGTATGTGTAACACTGAAATCCAGGTTCTCTTAATAAAAATGCTCATTCCTGGGAAGCACTTTATCTGCCCTTCCATTAGCCAGATAAGGTCAAGTTAAAGTTCATCATCACCATGCCATCACTTATCTAAGAAAAAAAGATCAAAAATACGAACAGTAAAATGACAACTCACAACTATCAACAAATGAACCAGAAAAAGAAAAACAATGAAAACAAAAACTAAGCAAACATTTAGAACAGGAACGGAATCAGAGAAATGAACATCACATGGAGGGTTTTAAGTGGGGAAAGGGGGGAGGAATGGGGGGGAAAGGTACAGGGAAGAAGAAGCATAATTGGTAGGCATAAGGTGGACTGGGAGAGGTCAAAATGGTATAGGAAACAGAGAACTCAAAGAACTTATATGTACAACCCATGGACATAAACTGAGGTGGGGAAAGCGGGAGGGTCGAGGGGTGCAGGGTGGAGGGGGGATAAAGGGGAAAAAAGGGAGAACTGTAACAGCATAATCAATAAAATATACTTAAAAATGCTCATTCCTGCTTGAGAGGCAAAGCTTCTATCTTTAGGTGCTCAGTAAGCCATTTAAGTCTTGTCTCTCTCACACACACACATACACCCCCCCCACACACACACAATATAGACAACAGGCAAAGCTGTTTACAGACATCATTCATTCACATACACACCTGAAGAAACACCTCTATATGCCTACCATCCTCAAGGACGAGAAAGTTTATGAATTCCTCAGGTGTGAGAGTGCTAAAGATGATTTCAGCACATTTGCATAAATGCTTGTTACTGTCTGAATGTATAACAACCATAATGGATGCTGTCTTAAACTGCAGGTGTGACCTTCCCTCACTTACTTGCTAATACTGGGCTGATAGGCCTGTGTTAATGCCCTACTTGCATATGGTATCAGAATATGAATGGAAGAGATGTCTCTAAATCTCTTTATTTCCTTGCTTCTGTTTTTAGCTTTTTCTTTAGGTTTTCCTATTATTTCTTCCTGAACCCAATAATTACTCATTAAGCTTGAATTGCCTTCCTTGCTTCCAAAACCCCTGCATGACTCTGTCTATTGGTGCAGTTGCCCCCTAAATCCTGCCTCATTGCTTAAGATACCGAACATGATAATAAACCTACCTGCATGGCTAAGACCTGTGCTTTGTAGTAACCTCTGGGTTTGTGTTTTGACTACTAGCTATGAACAATGCCTTCTGCTTTCATCATGGTCATAGAGGTTTTTTTATTGCCGTAATGTAGGCTGCATACTTCTAACAAGATAACACATGAGATAACATGCTTTCAGAAAATGATCAACAGGATAGAATTTTTTTTTGTCTGGGGAAGTTTTAAAGTCATGTTAGAACATGGAAGTTTAAGAACAACTCTACAACAAATGCTTTCAAAATTTATTTTATTTTATTTATTTTATAGTCACACTATATACTTCTTTTCCATCTCAAAACATTTTTTATAATATTCCTTTTTAAATACTTAGGGAATAGCTGCAAATTTACCTAATTTTTTTTCTGTGTTTTTCGTATTATGGATTCTGTGCGCATCCTGTTGAAAGAATTTTTATTTGAAGATACATGGCTCTCTGTGATATTCCTGGTGCCAAGTGTGTTCATTCAGATTAGAACTTTCGATAGGTTTAATCTTGTGAAAACTTACTTTTTTGAGTTGGGTTAAATATTAGATGTTGCCCGCACTAGGGAGTTACAAGATGAATGGTATTTCTACAAGTCAAATCAGTCTTTATTTTCACTACAGTATCCTGGCTGATGTAGGAAAGTCACAACTGTAAGTACTGATGTAAGTAATTATATGGTACAGCTGTCTCCTAACAAGCCCGCCCTGTAGTTTTCAGAGTACTGCCTATTGGGTTTGTAAAGTGTGGTTTTTCAGTCTAATAGTAAAGGCGTTCCTCATCAGGTGCAGAGTCTCCCATCTTAAATGTTCGAAAACGGAAGCACTTGGCATTTATTTATTTATTTTAAAAATCATTTGTAGTTGTTATGCTATTACCCAGTTATGTTATGTTGTTCCAGTGTGTCCTTCTTTGCCCTCCTCTGCCCACCCCCCCACTCCCACAGTCAATCCCCACACTGTTGTCTGTGTCCTTGGGGCATTCATACATGTTCCTTGACCAGGCCTTTCCCCTTCTATCCACCACTGTCCCCCTCCCCCTCCCCTCTGGTCATTTTCAGTCTGTTCCATGTTGCACTTGGCATTTAAAGAGCTTGTAACTACAACCTGGCCTTTAAGATAAGAAAACACCCAAGTTAAAAGAAAAAACTTTAAAAAACCCCATAAAGACCACTATTATAGACATATTCAGCACTAAGTAGAAAAACATATCATTTGTAGTTTGAATATTCAGTCATTGACATGGTCATTTATAATTCATATTCCAAAACATTCAGACTAAATTAATCTTAGCTGATATTGTAGGTAAATTTATATTATTTCCAAAAATTGTTCCAACATTGTGGCTTTGATTCTGTCACCAAAATATGCTCTCTGCTGGCAGAATTTAAGAATTATCTTATAATACTATTTTTATAAAATTTATAATCAATTTAGAAAACTTTTCGGGAAAGGCATGAAACATAAATTATGAGGAGCTAGACAGCAAAAGACTAATTTTTATATAACCCTTATTAGGTAAATTTTTAATTGTTTTACATAGATACAAACATTTCATCACAAGCATTTATATTTTGTTCTAGTTCTAATTAATAAGCAAAGTTGCTTTTTAAAAATTTTCCTTTTTGGCTTTTATATAATTTTTTGGTAACTGTACCAGTTTTGGCTAGAGAATGTCTCCATTACCCATGTTGACATATGAGCTATAAATTCACCCTCTTGGCCAGCCAAATTGCAATGTCACTTTAAGTAGTCAATTGTTGATTCATTGAAAACTTTCAAAGAGAATTATTAGCTAAAATCCTGGAATTCCTTGGCAGCTCTGCTGTTCTTACCTGAACCAGCTGTGGGAGATAGTCCAGCAGGTCATCATTCAAGAGGCTGTCTAATTGTTGAACTGCCACTTTCCGAATTTCTTGATCTGGAAAACTAATACAAAGCAAATATATCCATTAAGCAGCTAATGATATGGAATAATCCATGAGAGACATAAGGAAAACAGAGAATGAGTTCCATCCTCAGTAGATAAAATGATAATCCCACAGTCAATTAAGATGATCATTAGTAACAAATAGTTATTATTTTTCTGTATTCTATAACCTCATGTGAATTTAGTGGAAAGTCCTTTTGACTAGGTTTTGAAAACTTGGGTTTAGTCAGATTCCTGCCAGCTTTCTTGGCTATAAAATGTGGATGGTAAGGTATCTAAAATCTTTTCTAAAATAGTATGAAAATCTTTGCTTATAATTTAGCCATGCATTTATTAAATAAAGTATCAGCAGCTGGAGACTTGATGGTTTATGTGATTAAAAATGAAATATATTTGAGTGAGGTTGGCCAGATCACAATGAAAATGAGAACTCTAAAGTATTTTATAATAAAAAAATTAATTTAATAAGGCTAAATCTTGCTAGACTATGAGTTCTTGGGGGAAGCTGTGCCCTATTCCCTTTGGGATGTACACGCCTGCTGAAAGATCTAGCACTTGTAAGACACTTAATAAATATGTGCTACTGAGCTAAATTTATGGAGGTATTTAGCATTTGAAACCCCATTCCAAAGACAATTTATCCTCAAATGGGCTCCTCAGGTTGCCATTATCTTGTTCCATCAGAAGAATTAGATTCAATTATCTCCAGGCTCCTGGAAGTGCCTGGAGATAACTTTTGGCACCATGCAGCTTTGACATGATGTTGATGTACTACTTTGACATGATTAAATAGAACTAGGGCTCTGGTTGAAACAATGAATACAATTGTAAATAAAGAAGTTTTCAGAAAAATATGCATAATTTAAAACATGAAGAACTGTTTATAGTGACTCGTTGAAAAACAAAGAAATGAATAAACAAATCAACAAAACCCTAAAATTGTCTCGTAGGGGAACTAACTGGATGATTGTTTTCAGTCAGGTGAGAGCTCTGAAGATTGGCTCCTAATGTTGTGGAGGTCAGAAAGCTTTGAAGTCTGCAATATCCAGTCTCTTTTCAGCATTTCAGGTCACTGAAGGGTGAAATGAATACTATGCAGCTACAGTATAAAGGAAAAAATGGTATGACTCAATATCTCTCAACTCTTCTGGACAGCAGTTGGAAATGTAATGTTTAAACAGGGTCCATGTTTTTTCTTAATTTAAACTGAGCATTTTAATTGCAACAAGAATTTAACTTCCACGGTTAGTCACTCAAAACCTTTATTTCTGACCTGCAAATACAGTTCCGATAATTTTCTCTCTTTGAGCATTCCAGTGAGACCTATTGAGAACTGTAGTCCAGACACATTGCATGAGGCACTTAGTGAAGGTCAGAAGATCTCAGCATAGCATCAAAAAAACAGATGGAGAGCAGAAAGGGTGTAATAAAAATGCAAAGCTAGAAGGTCGGCCTGTTTTTAACACACAAAGACTTTATTTTCTCCTAACTAAATGCGATCAGCTCTAATTTATTGCTCTCAATTACTAAACCATTTGTCTGAAGCCTGCAGACATCAAGGTCAGTTGAGAACAGTCTGAAGTCTTTCTCAGGGAATAGTTACTTGGTACATTCTGTGGCCTAAGGGTTGGCTTAAGTCAGATACTAGTCACTCTTGCCTTCGCCTGTGTCTATCTTATCTCATTGATATGAAGAACAACAAAGAAAAAAATAAAAAAGAAACCACAACAAAACTCTTTGGTGAACTATGTCTCTAAGTATGTATTTATTTCCAAATACTAAAATGTAAATTCCATGAAAGTAAAAATTGTTTTGCCTGTTTTGTTACCTGATTTGTCCATAGGTCCCCAATGCCTCCAGTTTGGTGTGCATGCTCTGCATATTTGAGGGAAGAACACCCAAACTGAATTAATTATCTTTCCACCTACAATATCTTGATGGCGGGTTTTCTCTTGTAGTTTGTGTTATTATCTGTATCTAATCATGTAGGCCTAAAAATTTGAGATATTTTCTTTCTTTTTGCTGTTATCATTAAGTGTCCCCCCCCCTTTCCTACCTGGAGAAATTCTATTCATCATCGAAGTCAAAGCTCAAGCATCGGTCTACCTGCAAAGGCATTCTAGCCCCTTTGCAGCCATGCAGAGTTTATCACACCATTTTCTACAGGATTCTATATTCTGTACGTGGTCGAAGAAGGCTCCTTCATTTAGGAATTCTTAGCACAGTCACAGCTGAATAAAAATTTGTGGAATTCCTAAAAGCTTTTTATCTTTATATCTAATTAGTTGCCAAATTCCATAGACTTTTCTAGTCTAATGACTCTAGCCTCACACCTGTTTTTAGTTTTTTCTGCACCTATATACTCTAGGCCATACTTATGTCATGCTGGTACCAATGCTGTTAATACTAATGGCTTATAAAATTTCCTAAATTGTTTATAAGTTCATTTCTCATAAAATGTTAAATTATTTTCTTTCTCACTGTAGATTTTTCTGTTACTCTAATGCTGCATCAAGTGTTTTGGCTCACAGACATGTCATCCTCACTTGGAAAGTGCCATGTGCCTTCTTATTTTTGTGGCTGTTGTAACCTTCACTTGGAACACCCTCCTTTCTCTTCTGAGTTCTAGTCCTCCTTCAGAATGGGACCAAATACTCTTAAGTTAATGATCCCAGTCTTTACTAATCATTGCTCTGATCTCCAAGAGCATTGTCTAAGTGACTGCATGGCCAATCAGGGTATGTTATTGAGCGCCAGGGTTGACCTTTTTATATAAGTGTCATCATTCCTCAGTTACTGAATAAATTAACTGAGGATAGGTTGTTCCATGTTTTTCTTTTTTACTCCTTGGATTTAGTGCCATGCTTCATACATGTTGGGTGATTCATAAAAATACACTGATCATTGTAATAATAAAGAAAATCACACTATGAAGCCCCTTTTATTTTTTGCCATGCTCTGAGATAATTTGTGTAGGTAACAGTAAGTTTAATTTCACAAACACCTTTCATATAAATTCCAGGTTCCTTTTCTCTCAGTAAAATGGTAAGAGAAAAACAAATCTAAAAGCAATGGAAAGAAAAGAATGTATTTTTGGGGGGATTCCTTCAGGAACAAGATAAGGTCAAGTTCAAGGAGTTCATCAATACCAAGCCCTTATTATATGAAATGTTAAAGGGACTTACCTAAAAAAAAGGAGTTAAAAAATAAGAACAGTGCAAGGACAGCAAACTCCAGTTATTAATAAACTACAGTTATTAACAACCACACCTAAAACAAAAGCAAACTAAGCAGACAGCTAGATCAGGAGCAGAACCATAGAAATGGAGGTCACATGGAGGGTGAGCAACAGGGGAGTGGGAGGAAGAGAGGGGGGGAGAATGTACAGCGAATGGTAGGTAGAAAATAGACAGGGGGGAGGGCAAGAATAGTATGGGGAATACAGAATCTAAAGAACTTGTGAGACATGGACATAAACTAAAGGGTGGGGGATGGAAGGGAGGGGGTGTGTAGGGTGGAGGGGAATGAAGGGGGAAATGGGACAACTGTAATAGCATAATCAATAAAATATATTAGAAAACAAAAAACTCACAATATCTGCAAATTATAATCCAAAACAAAAATTATATATTTGTAGCATACTTGTATATTTGGAAAGAATATTTCTTGTACCTTAATGAAAAGAGATGTCTCTTCTTTTTAAAATTTAATCTTTATTGTATTTTTTTCCATTACCATTTAATCCCCTTATACCCTCCTCTAAGAGATTCCTCTTTTTATTCACTATTGTTGCTTGCAATTCAGAAAGAAACTGGGAGAGAAATTGCTAAGAAACTAACCACATGACATCCTGAGATGTGACTAAGGCCTGACAACATTAAAGCATAGCCAAGTAGAACTTGCATTTGACTATTTTAGAAAGAGTTGGCCACATTAAAGGAGATGCTGGCAGTGCTGGTGAATTTTCTCAGAAATAGGCTCTTTCATACCTTGTTGGCAATATATAACATCATGAATTTTTTAAAAAACCTTTCAAAAGTGCTTACTCCTTTTCTAGCAATTTTACTCTCGGCAATTTATTCTAATAATCAGAGATGTATGTGAGGATATACATATATAAGCAAGCTGGCAATGATAGAAATGTCAAAAACTAAAAAGTTAAATATGTTATGACCCTATGATAGAATATATGTAGTCATTAAAATACAAAATAAATCTTTAATGATATAAAATATTATGAAAAATTTATACAGTATAATACCATTAAAATTCGTGTATATTTATCTATATGCTTTAAAGTAAAATATAAAACATCACAATATTAATACCTAATATCTGAATGGAAGTTTCCTGAGTGACTATAGCTTTCTTTTGTAAGCTTAGTTTTAAAAGTTTTTCATACTTTTTATATTCAAGTTTATTAGTTACTAAAAATATTTTTGAAACTAAGGCCATTCAACTGATTATGAAAATATATTAATAATGGTAAATTTACTACCACTAGAAGAAAAAACTCCTAAATCATGTTTTAAGAGTGTACGTCATTGTGTGAAAGAATAAGAATCACATTTTCAGAGGAGAGTAGGGGGACTGGATGAAAGGTAGTGTAGGGATTACCCAAAGGACATTTATTTGTGACCCACAAGACACAGACAATGAGATGGTAATTGACTTAGGGAGGGGTAGGGTGGGGCTGGGCAGAGTTGGGGAAAGGAAGAAAAAGCCAGAACACTGAAATTGCATAAGCAATAAAAAAATTAAAAAGAATCATTTTCAAGTTGACTTGGAATATTCTTTTACTATAATAGTACTAATAAGGACCTATGCTTCTGCAGAATTTATGCTTAAAACCATTTCAGGGCTCTTAATTAGCCATAGATCAACAGACAAATACGTTTCACAAATCCTGACGTTCTGTCCCTGCCCTGTTGTCTGGAATTATTTGAACATTCTTTTGGGGCTATAGTTGTTGGCATTTTATGCTCAGTAACTTGTTCCT